TCACATAAATATACGAGTAAAGATTATTTTTCTAACAAACTTTCACTAAGCTATGCTTCCTTGAAATTTAATTTTAAAAAATTTTCATCTCACGACATAAAAATTTAAACAAAAAATTTATTCAGTAAAAATTATGTTTCCGCTTCTATTCAATATAAAAATTAATATTCTATTTATATATATATATATATATTTATATATATATTTATTTTTATTATATAAGTGTATATATATATATTTCTGCTCAAAAACTACTCGGATTTTGTAAATAAAACACACAAATTTGAATTTTATTCCAAATTTATTTTATCTCCTTCAAAATATGCTCCTTCTGAAGCGATACACATATGCCAACGCTTAACCCAATCTTCCATACACTTTTCGTAGGCCCGTGAAGGTATGGCTTTTAGTTCCTTCTGCGAATTCTCTTTTACCGTTTCAGTCGACTCAAAACGCTTATCACGAAGGGGCAATTTGAGTTTCAGGAACACGAAAAAGTCGCACGGATCCAGATCTGGCGAATATGGTGCCTGAGCGATGACAGTGGTGCCGTGTTTGGTCAAAAAATCTCGTACAACAAGAATTTTCCATAGTAAAAATCGCTAAATGCACTTGAGGTAGTCTCACATTAACAACTGTTGTAAACAAACTAGTTGACAGATGGCGCTCAAATTTGTACCATATGTCAAGAAAGGGTATACCAACATAACAAAAAGTAATTTTTGAAAAAGGTCTATTATTTAAAGAGTAGTTAACAAACAACAAAATCCGGATACTTTTTGAGCAGAATATATATTTAATATATGTGTATATATATATATGTAAATATAATAAAAAATAATTTTCTGAAACACTTATTTAAATAATTTTTATTATTTTCGTATTAATATTTTATTTAAAGCCAGTAAAGTCCTTCATAAATGTCCTTCATTTCACGTAATTGAAATCATTTGTAATAATTGATTGATTTTTTATCGATTTTATTTTTATGTAACTAAATAAATTTTTTATCTTTTTGCAGGTAAGTTTTCAACAATGTTATTATACTATAGCATAAAAATACTTTGTAAGTAAAATTTTAAATAATTTTTATAATTTTATTGGGAATATAAAAAATCAAGTCAACGTCGGCAGTTGTTGTAAAAAATATGAAATAAATATTTTGATAAGTAGTTTTGTGCTGTAAAGTGTAAATTTAAAAAAAAATATTTACACAAGTAAATAATTTTCTCTTCGGCAAAATATGTAATCGTATAAAAATTTTTAATAATAATAATAAATATTACAATTCAATTGAAAGCACGTATTAATTACAAAAGTTATCAGTAACCTTTAAGACAAGTGAAATAAATGCGTTTCAAATATAAAACATTTGTACATAAATGTTTTAGAAACTATACATATATTGTATATATTGTACATCGCAAACGATATATTGTAGATAAAAATATATACCATATTATTTGTATCTGGTAGATGTATCGTATTTTATTTGCTTATTAGCAATTATATGAAAGCAGAGGCACTGCGGCACTCACCATACTTGGCGCGTACTATGGCAAGTGTGCCATAACTGGCGACACATCTAAGTTTGATTAGAACTTAGGAACTCTATAATTTTAATAGAAAAGATAAGAAATATCCATGCCATACCAAGTAAGAAAAGGAAAAGTTGATTTAAGTAGTATTTTTTTTTATTTACGTTTTTGTTGTGTTATCTTGACGCGTTCTTCAGTTTCCAAATTGAAATAATGAATTTCACTGTGTGCCTGCCTTGGTTTTGGTTTATACGTTTGGATATATCAGTACATTTACGAATTGGAGTTTATTTAAATAATGATAAGAGTGTCAGAGTATTCGTTTTACTATATAACATTTTGTTAATAAATGTAATATATATAAATTTTTTTTTTGTTAATTTTTGTTGTGGTTTCGTACATAGTTTTAATTAAGTATAGTGTGCAATAAATTTAGCTCATTATGTCACTAACAATTTAACAATTTAAGTCTTAAGATACAAAATTTTTCACTCAAATAGATAAGATATAAAATTTATTGTATAATTTCAGTAAACATAGGTTAGTCTAAGTTACACATTTATCTAATGCTATAAAAAATTTTTTTTGAACATACGTGTTAACGTACGAGTAGTAAAAGTCTATATAATTGAAAACCAAAAAAAAAAAAATATGTTGTGATATTTATATACGATTAATGCAATAGTTTTAACAAGGTCAAAATAAAATAGATAAAATTAATTTGTTGCCAAACTAAGCTTGTATTTATACTTGTATTACGTACTTAACGAAAATACACTAAACAAATATATATCGCTTTTGTACTTATATTAACACTTATATGAGATAGATCTATGTTCAATTTTATGTTGTTTAAAAAACATATCGTATTTTTCACTAATAGAGGAGTATGAACATTTTCTATTTTATATAAATATATATATATAAAATAATTTAATAATATTATAAATTAATATTATAGTATTTATAAAATAAAATATAAAAATAAAAATAAAATAAAAATAAATAATAATAATAATAATAAATATATATATAAATATAAAATAATTTAATAATATTATAAATATATTATATTATATAAGTATTTTTTAAAGAGGTTTTTCGAAAAGTGGTGAACTATAACAACAAAAATTCATTTTTATATTATTTTAATTAACTGAATTTTTGGCTGACAATATCGCTGTTTCGAGTATTGCCACATACCCATCATCAGTGGTCTTAAAATTATTTCTTGTATTTAATTAATCGTAAATAGTTTTTTGAGACTATAAGTACCAGGAATCAAACTCGTGCCCTGCCAAATTTGAATCTCAGAGTCAGCGCAAACAAAATTATATTTATTTTTTTTTAATATCTTTCATCAGCGAGTAGCAAAATAGCTTCGCTTTTCTTCGTTACCTTAAATATTCAAATCAAATTCGTTATTAGTACCTCTTATTTGTTATATCTACTAGGTGCAATATTAAAACGATTTTTGTTCTTTATTTTAAGAATCGTTATTTATTTTTATTAGAATTTTTTGAAATTTGACTTTGAAAAATAACGCAGATTTTTTCACTGTTCCTTTTTTAATTTCAATTATATACAAGCTAGTAAGTATTCCAAATATTGTAATTAATGATATAATATGATCTCATTAAATTAAGAGCATGAGTATTTAGCTCAGGAAAAAAGTTTGAGGGTCTGCTTGATCATAATGAAGCGCAATGGCTTTCCCCTTTATCAATTTCAAATTATTATACACTAGCTTAGCTTATAATACAGTAGCTTATAATAAATAAAACTTTTGCAATGCCATCGTATACATAATAAGGACTTTATTTATTGTTCAGATTCAATTGGTGACAGTAGAAATTTGAATCTCTAGTGGTAGCCTATAAAGATTGAAAGTCTAACAAACCTATAATATACATAAAAAGGACTTTATTTATTGCACGAAAGCAATTGGTGTTAGTAAAGACTATTATAAAGATATTATAAATAATTTGTTTTTTGTTTAGATTTCTTTTGGGAAACGTATTTAAAATTATTTTGTTTTATTTGAAGAAAATACGATTACCCACAATATGATATTATATTATCCCATAACGATAATAATCTAAACACGTTCAAACCACAAGTTCTCTCGCTACAGTATATGATATATCTCAGTCTTATTAAACTGTATGGAATAAAGTAGCCAGCGATTGTAACTTAATCTTGTGTTTCTTCTTCAACATTTCTAGTACTATATCCAGCTACTACCCCCGCTGGGAAGAGGTTTGAATATTTCTGTGGTAAGAGGCGACTAAAATCCACTAGGCACCTCCCGATACAATTTAAAATAAAAATGACACCTAACCGGAAATGTATATCTGGTACCACTGATGTCAGGGTCCGCAACTTTGACTGTCCTGAGTAATTAAGTGTGGTTATTTAATAGGATTATCATTGTGGCTGTGTTTAAAATCCCAAATTAG